ACAATGGGGCGACCGCCATGCTCCTGAAACCGCCCCCGGGGGGCAGCACCAACCGCCCCCTCATACCCTCGGACTCCAGAGCCAAGTCTATGGAGTTCCTACTGGACAAGGAGAACCAAGCAGCTGCACAGGTAGGAACTCTCTCTCTCTCTCTCCTTCCAGCTGAGTCGGTTACGATGCTACCTGCAGCGAAGTTGGTGTATCGAGATACTGAAGTGTTCGCCGCGTTTTTAATCGATACTGTTTTCTGAACCTTGTCACAGTAACCTTTACGACTTTCGTTTTCATGGTTTGTAAATAGTTTTATAATATCCGAGAATAGCGCACGGTGGTGACATAGATTTGAGTTAAATCAATATCTGAATTCTTGGGCCAGTGGCTACAAAGTAGGGCATAACCATACAGCGACAGTAATTCTCCAACGACCGTTATGCGTTGTATTGTGTCTGTTATTATTTAACGATTTCATAATTGTGGTCTGCTCCTCTTCTGAATTAACTACAAGGCATAAGAGGGCACATTTTTCCCTTAGGAAGTGCCTTTTCAGGCCACAATAGTCGCACAATGTGTCTGCTTGGAAATTACTGTGCAACGCTAATGAAATTGGTCACGAAGTTCTTTTTTCCCGTCAGAGGAGTTTTGTATACACAGTCTGTTGGAAGGAAGGAACCACAGGATCTATTATGATAATTCATTTGTTTTTGTGTGCGTCACAAAAGACGAACAATGCCGATTATAACACAGTACCGTTAAAATATGATGAGTGTCTTGTAATATAGGACTGCGCCTTTCGTTAGTCTGTCCGCTTCCTTGTCTCCGAAATTATATTTTACATCCAGAGTCTGCAAGAAACCTTTTTTTGGGCGAATTCTGTTTTGTGCCAGTTCAGTAGTAGGCCATAAACGTTTACTTTACTCAAACTTCAAATGGATCTTTGACAATATTTGAAAGAGAATAGCTTGTAATAACATAAAAATTTACATCCTCTGTTCGAAATACAAGGTTAAGTTATATTTGATCAGCTTACATGTTGTGCTGAGTATGGTGTGGCGAAGTTCTGAATTTCGCATTTGAACCCCCAACAGTAGATTTGTAGCTGCAGCAACGCGTATGAACCTCAAAGCCCATGAAGTGTGTAGTCGCGAAATACACATTTCGGAATTATATCTCGAGTGAGATGTTTCTGCTAATTTTCGTCGTTAGTGGGAAATTCCTGTATTTATCAAACACTTCTGTCAGAGGTGATCGTGGTCCAAGTTGTGCACTTTAATATCTGCTTGTGTTGTGTATCTTAAACTGTAGTTAACGTACATAAGCATCCACTTCCCTGTGATTCCAGCGAGTGTTTGTTGATCGTTGTAGTTTTCTCTCCTGAGCTTCAAAACATGCATATTCCGTGTATTTTCAGAAGTCGTTGGTCAACAACTGTGTTTAAATGAGACGGTTAGTGAGAGGAGTGGTTACGACACAATTATTTAGCATTGAAAATCTTGTGCATGCTTCGTTACAACTCCCTTAAAGTTATATTCTGCCTCAACGTCAGGACTATAACATATCGGCAGTAATATGTGAATCATAATTGAGGATTTTTGATTCAGTACATAATACTGCGCCACGAGCATGAAGAGGGTTTCTTTAAGGGGTTGTGTTTGATACCAAGGAACCTAAGACCTGTTTTCCTTTTGACATAAAACGTGTTAAAGGATGACTAGAGTACAGAGGTGCTGGTAGTACAAGTAATCGTAGTAATTGTATTCTATTTACATTTAAGTAATACGCGCTGCAGCTGATTATCTTAACAAAGAATTTGCCGTGTGAAATGCAACCCACCAACAATCATTTAATACGATACGAAAAATGAATTATAAGCATCAGGTCCACCCCCTTGTAACAGACTACCATTCCCACAACATGATACTCGTTGCTAGGCCGCTGCTCACAGGTGTATAGAACGTTTTTTTCATTCTCGACATTACTTCGCATCGAAATCATTTAATGATGTTCGTGAAGCATTTAACAATTCATATCATTCGGGAAGTTAGCGGACATTTTAGCACTTGCTGTAAAGCTGTTATGTAAATCCGTTGTAATAAAAAGTAATATGTCGCGTAGTTGGGGGTGTTTTTTAAATGGGAGCAGTGTAATTGTTCTTCATTTTAATTATCAAAATATTACTCGTGCGTAACGTTTGTTGAATACCGTTTCATTACAGCCTGTCACTGTTTTAAGTAACGAGGGTGAAGTATGTGGTAGCATCCAAAGTTACATGAAGAAGATTTTAACTTAAGAGCCTACGTTTTTGTAATTTTTCTTTGGAGACGGTGGAAGTAAGATTTATAAAACCATGGAAAATAACTTTACAAACAGTATGAAATTTCTACTTCTAGATCGAGTTTGACGTTTTCGTAAATGCTATAAATATAAATGTTTGTTAGTCTTGTGGTTAGAAACAGTTCACACATTGTCTGCGCTTCAGCTAACGTTACGGGGCACCACATCTGCTCTGCCTTGCACTTCCCGGAAATGACGCGGCTTCCATTGACAACTGAAAATGTTGACTGAAAGCGGTTAGATGCATAATTACGAATGACGATCACGTGACTTGTCTGTCCTATTGTAGTAGCGCCGGTTCTGGCTTATATCATGCATGACACGATTGAAAGTTATTCGATATGACTGAGGAAAATCATTTAACAAGCCTGAAAAATAGGTTAGGTTAGGTTTAATGTTCTCGCTGCGACTTGTAGGCCTCTGTCGTCTGAGGTGTAGCGGGACCAAAATTTTACCCGGGAGCCCTGGAGTATGAAGCAGGAGTTATAATCACGACGTTCGGTAAAATAGTACACCCTCATTAATGTGTTTCTTTCAACTACAGTTCCTTGTTATTATCCTTTTTGTATATACTGTCTGTATTACCAGTTTTGGTCACGGAAGGAGTAGCCTGCGCTATTCATTTGCGCACACCGCGTCTGAGACAGGTTGGAAGCATGGTATATACCATCGCCTCCTATTTTGTGCTCCCTTGTTCCAGCCAGTTTAAACGGAAAGTTATTATTAGGTCGAAGAGGTAGCAACGTTTTTGCATGCACGAAACACAAAAAGATGGGTCCCAGACGTAATGGATTACATTAGAAAGTACGAAGTGGAATTCACTGCTCGGTGAAAGTGAGGCCCATACCTGTTGAAGCATTGGCAGTGTTTTTGCGTGATCTTTAAGAGCGGAATGTGATGACTGTGATTGCTGGAATGCTACGTTTCTGTACAGAAGTATGAACTGCTGCTACGAATAGAATTTTATTTGTTTATCGTTACGTTCTACAAATTTTTATTGCCTGACGATTCACGATTTGTATTGTTGAAACTCTCAAATATAATTAAGCGCATTTTGAAGGATAACAGAATTTTAATCTATGAAATAACAGATTTGTAGTCGGACTTCAATCCTAAGTTTACTGATACTTTTATGAGAAAGTGGAGACTGGACAGTGCAAGAAATTGACGAACTAATTGCAGTAGTTGGAATGAAATTTACGAGGGGAAAGAAATTTGAATGGATTGTAGAAGAAACGAGCACGCATAAAAAAGTAAAATCAGGACATAAATTTGACAATTTTTTAAACATAATACTAGTTGGATTCCGCACAATGACAGAATGAAAAAATTCAGACTTCCCAAATCATTAAAAATTATAAACACATTACGGAACCGTGGACGACTTTTTAAGAGATTTTAGGCCGATTGGGCCTGATCGGGGCAGCAAGTGGTTAAGTATTTGACCGCTAGGTTATCTATCATCTTTGTTAAAAGTTGTAGCAATTGTGTTTCTATAAGAATATCTTGTTTTCAGCGCCTGAAATTCATCATTTTGGAGTTTTGCATGATTTGGATGTTTTGTTTATCACTTCTTCGTATCTTAGCCGACGACCCGACTACAACCGCCAAGGATAAGACATCACTCGTCTGTATATGACGCTACGTATTCACTGCAGTTGGAAACTTTGTGCATGCGTAGTCAATCGACGATGCACGACAGAAGCAACTTTTCACTGGAGCTACATCCACCTGCCTAATTCAGGTTGCTAAATCTAATTCAAGTTCGCAAACATCAGCACATTGTCTGTTGTGGTCCGTATAATAGTGACACACTTTGAAATATCTGGATTTTTTTTAGAAGTATATCAGTTGTGCCTGATGTAGACACCGTTCAGAAGTTTACAGAGAATATGAGATGCAGGAAACAGAAACCTTTCCGTTGCATCAAACATGAGGAAAACTGAATGCATGCATCGTTGAACGCGGTGGACAGTTCCGTCTTTTTGTTTCTTGTTTTCAGTAAAATTTGTTTTTTGACAAATAGAACATGTGTCAGGAAAGTGTTTCGATCACCGCGAGGTATAATATAAGCATGATAACAGAGTGTTTCCTTTTCAAGACATCGCATTGAATCTCCTCCAGGTTTTAGGAACTGAATAATGTTACTCGAGCGATTGTGATATTCATGGCAGTTCGAACGTGCTGCAGTGAATGTAGTTTCGTTATCATCTGGAATTTAATAATCCTTATTGATGCCATTTATTTCGCGCCACGAGAGTACAAACTTCACGTATTTAAGTTCGAATGGTTTATTATTATTCGAGATCGGTGCACAAATTATAATACCTCTTCTATTTTCAGCTCTCCTGGAAGCAACGTAATGTCATGTTGCAAAATACAGCTTCCGTTGCCGAAACCAATAGCACCTTATCTGTAGTATCCGTCACCAGATTGTGTCCTTCAAGGTCACATCAAAATTATATAGAAAAGTGAAGACTGGTCAGATATCGCAGAGTAGCAAAGCTGTGTTGTTGAAGATTTCTGTCTTTTGGGTTGTTGCGCTGTGTAGACTGGTCGATGTTAACCAACGTTTCAGAGGTCCTCCTGCCTCCGTCATCAGGGCGATGAGTATGAAGATTTCTGCCTTCTGGGTTGTTGCGCTGTGTAGACTGGTCGATGTTAACCAACGTTTCAGAGGTCCTCCTGCCTCCGTCATCAGGGCGATGAGTATGAAGATTTCTGCCTTCTGGGTTGTTGCGCTGTGTAGACTGGTCGATGTTAACCAACGTTTCAGAGGTCCTCCTGCCTCCGTCATCAG